ACACCCACACCCACACCCACACCCACACCCACACCCACACCCACACCTGATTTCAGTCATCTACATATGTTGGATGTTATTGTATAAATGACAATCAATTCAATGATACTTTTGATAATTGTATATACCGAGCTCACATGTCTTTATTGTTCTGTCAACTAAACTTAGCGGTGAAAGGCTCAAATGTTAAAGGCTCATATGACGAGAGGCTCAAATGTTAGAGGCTCAAATTCAAGGGCTCAAATGTCGATAGGCTCATGTGTGAGGGCTCATCTGTCGGGGCTCAACTGTCAAAGGCTCAACTGTCGATGTATCGTCTTTTAAGGCTGAAAAACCTGATTAAAATCAGATTATTATAGTACCATTATAATTGAGTAGTAATCTGAGTTTTCATCATTTCTTTCAAAATTTTTTTGTGAGATGTACGGTAGATTTGTTCATTATCAGTGACGAACTCTTTATTTCAGAGTTTATCTTCAGCACTTCTTTTTACTGTTTTTATATATACCAAACTTTATTGAAAATACTTTTATATTCAAAGACTTCCGTCGTTTTGTTACTTATGAGCTACATTATTTTGCATTTTGTATTGACTAATCATAACCCAAAAATAAAGACGAAAACAGATAAAGTTGCCTAGTCGTGGTAGAAAACTAGGTTTCTGAATGAAGTATCTATGAAAAATGTGATTAGATATGTTCTATTAACTCGGTACGTATGATAAAAGAGTGTTCTGCAAAGTAATAAATTTAAGGATTGAAGACTTCCAGATTATGTAGGATTGCCTCTGATTCCCTTGGATTCCCTTTGATTCCCTCAGATTCCATTGGATTCCCTTTGATTCCCTTTGATTCCCTCAGATTCCCTCAGATTCCCTTGGATTCCCTCGGATTCCCTAAAATTTCCATGAATTCCATCGAATTCCAGGATTCCAGGATTCCGCTATTCACCCCTTGGATCCAATTCATAGTTTTATCCAGTTCGTTCGATAAGAATGTCGTTACTCAGTCAGTCTACCATCAACCTCATGCTTCAGAAATGAACTGGATGAAACTATGAATTAGGACCGCATAACAACAAGAAGCGACATCGATAGATGAACAAATATATTCTCTAAAAAAAATTAAAAAACAAATTACATTTTGCCTGTGATTTTACTGTAGGATTATCTGTAATTCAGGAAACTGGAGAATACTATATGCGTTAAGCAGCCCTCTCACAGAAGTCGATTTTTCGAGAAAAATTCGTTTAGAGATTTATACATATTCTGATGCTCCTTGTGTTGAACTATAAGCCAGCACAATTTTCTTTTGTTACAACATTAGGTTATTTTTTTTTCTGATGAGTTTTTTGGTGCAGTCTCATAGCTAAGGAATATGGCTCGAAAACTTTGTCGTTTTTCTCAAAGCCAATTTTTTGGTGCATACAGCTTACGCGGGCAAGGTTTTCTTAATAATGACTCAATATAGAAGTGATATTTTTTTTATTGCATAGTAGACAGGTAGGGCTACGTCTTCAGAGAGTCTGATTTTTGAATTTCTCTTTTGCTGAAATAAAAAACTTGGATATTTCATTTTTAGTAGCAATGTTTTTGGGCATGTATTCGTAAATTGTTCGAAAAAGGTTTTTTAAAAACAAACAAAGAGAAATTCAAAAATCAGATCGTGTGAGGATCAAGTCTGAAGGGTACTCTACCACTTAAAAACCGCCCAGGCATGTTAGCTCGTATCTATTGTGAAATCCTTGCCCGCGTACAGGGTACTTTTGACTGATAAATTGACTATAACTCATTAGTTTATTGGAGATTTGGAGAAGATGTTTCACTCATAATCTATCCTATCTCAGACTAATATCCTCCGCAAAATTTGGATGAAATTGGACGAAAAATAACAAAGTTGGTTTCTGAGGGAGCCCCTTAAATGAAATATACGATTTTGCGCAGAGTTTCAAGTGCTATCTTTTGATAAAAAAGGATGTCTCAATCAAGTGAAGAATACGCACCAAAATAAAATGTGTCGCATGTGTTACATTTTGTGACACAATGTACGACACATTCAAGAACGACACGAGGAGCTCGCTGTGACACATTTCTTCCAGCGACACCATGACACATTTTAGTACGACACATGCGACACATTTTGAAAACATGGTTCGAATCTACTATACAGCGCATTTTGAATTTTCTTATAGAAGGAAATTATCACATATTTTTCAATTTAATTCTATTTAGCTATTGCTGTTTTGAAAACTCAAGTAGGTTGGATCTTGGAAT